AAACAAAATGACAGTCAGCTATTGACTAACCATCATTCCACTAAGGCAATTGATAACAATTTAAAAGGGAAGCAGTCAAGTTTTTAGTGAAATGCTGTTTACATCATTGTGATTATTAATGAATGAATATATATATATTTCATTTTAAATGTTGGTATTTTGCAAAAATAAATGCTTTAATTCATCACTCATTTTCAGACAACATTTTATTGTATTTTTAAATTATCTGTGATGTAAAATTTGGGCAGGATACTAAAAGTAACAACCGGAAGATAACAGTAACACCCAAATGATAACAGTAACATCCCGGGAATAACAGTAACTGCTAGGAAACAGTAATTAGCTAGAGCTATGGTGATGAAAAAACTGCTAGCCAAATTTAGTTTTTAGTTCATGGTATAGGACTTGTTACAAGTAGTATGTCTGATATAGGTACTGGTGTTCCATTTTCATAAAAGCGGTTCACGGCGGACAATGACCAAATATTTGAATACGCAATCTTTTCATTAGTTAGTATTAGCATAATGTATTTTTGTCATATCCAACTTTGTCATCACCAGTGGGTGAAATAATTATGTTTCATAATTCTCAACTGAGCTGCTGATCCCTTTCGGCTTAAAAGGATTTAGTGGTACTTTACTTGTATGTATGTAAATTTAACCATTTCATCAAATTGTGAGTTTCAAAGAAATTTGATATTTAAGATACTCAATATTTTCTTGAGATTGCTCAACAACTTGATTTGGAACATGTTTTTTTTTTTTTTTACACATCAAATATCATTGTTAATTTTGGATCAAATTGACATACTGCAAAATACTTTATTTTAGACTTTTTGGTGTTTTGTATGGAATTTATTTTCACTGATTTGTGGAGTAATGTAAAATATAGGAAAAAAGGTATATTTGATTTGATTTTCACTGAATCATTCCTTCAGCGAAAATTAATTCTAAGCGAAAATAAAGTATTTTACAGTAAGTTCCAATAGACAATATTGATCAACATATTTGAGTAATATTGAAAAAAAAATATGCTGGTTCATTTTGTAAAATTTGACAAAATTCTCGTTGGCATTCAGAGGATTAAAAATAAAGACGTACAAAATTTCGTTGCATTCCAAAGTTGTAATTCTATGAGGTACCATTCTCCTGATCCATACATACATCATCAAATATTGAGAATGTTAACAGTAACAACCAGAGGCTATGCGTCACTCTTTTCATCACAAGATAGTCGTGTTCATAGTCTGTACTTTCCGAAGAATGGAACAAAAATAACCAAATTTTTGGAGTAAAAACCAACTCAAATTTTGTCTCTTGGCTTTAAAATTAGGGTTTATTTCCAGAAATATTGAAAAATGCAAGAAAAAAATGTGCAGAAAAATTGACCAAGAAGGTGAGGTGGTTAATACATGTTGTTATTTTTACTTTAGATTTGGATAAAAAAAAAAAGCAAACGTTTTCCGCATTTATAACATACATGGAGTTAACTCATTTTTTTGCATTGTCAGTTGCTTTTCCTGAGCACAATAGGCAAAAAAAAAAAGTATAAAGTAGTGTAAAATATATTATTTTCGCTTGCAATTAATTTTCGGTATTTTCGCTCGAGGAATGATTCAGTGAAAATAAAATCCAGCGAATATACCTTTTTTCCTGTATTTTACATTCAACTCATCAAACATCAGTAAAAATAAATTCCATACAAAACAGCTAAAATGTCTTTTCAGCGAAAATTAATTCCAGCTAAAATGAAGTATTTTACAGTAAATGCTTTTGATGAAATAGTGGAATTTAACAAAGCACAGTAAGCATACACACACTGGCAATGTAATACTTTTAATTGAAATCAGAATGCAGTGTCCATGAAATACTGTACTTATTGACTAATCCATTCACCAACACCAAAATTCACTGGAAGAACACAAACATAATATGTAAATGAATGATGCTGATATATAGCAGGTTACTTAAAGTAGGGGGAGTCAAGACCTGTGTATGCGACAGACAATCATAGCATGTCGTTTACAAATGAGTGCCTACTCATGAGTCTTTGCATTTGTGCATTGTTATCTTCACTCAGAGCTTGATTCTTGCATGTTTAGCACGTTTTCAGAATCGCCATACATGTAATGACGCAGAGTAATCTGTCTAGTTATGTTATGCTTAAAATGCACTGTATATTGCATTATGTGATCATATCAAATATGACTCGTTGGTACAACCATAACAGTGAACATTCCACTGTAGCCCTTAAAACTAAAAAAACAAACATTACACCAAAAACCTCAATACAGTGAACATTTCACTGGAGCCCCTAAGACAGTGAACATTCCATTGTAGCCCTTAAAACAAAAAAAAACAAACATTACACCAGAAACCTCAATACAGTGAACATTTCACTGGAGCCCCTAAGACAGTGAACATTTCATTGTAGCCCTTAAAACAAAAAAAACAAAAACAAAAAAAAACATTTTACCAGACCCCACAAGACAGTAAACATTTATTGGCGCCCTTAACTTAAGACAGTGAACACTTCACTGGAGCCCTTGGGACATGCAGTCACTGTGAATGTAGTGAAATGTCATCATGAAAGCCGTAAAAACAAAAATAAAAAAATTAAAAGGTTAAATTGTACACATGTGCTTAGTGAATGAATCTCACAGCAGTTTCTATTTCGGGTGGCTGTTCTACCCCAGGTGTCAACTGACATGCAACATATATTTGACAACAAATATTTCTGGCACATTCATAGTTAGTTGTATTGAATAGTATCCATGATGAACACGTAGTCCAAAAAAAAAAAAAGATTGTTCACAAAGAGAACAGCATGTGCCGTTATGACAGTGCCCCTCATATATATTTCAATTATATCACTATCTTGCATTTTGTGTTTCAATGCAAATTTAAGCTGCCATTTTGAAAACAGAAGCATGCCAACAATCTTGTTGAATTTTTTCTCCTTCAGCGGTTATTTTTGAAAACATAAAATTTGTACTTTTGTGACAGCGAAAAAAACAGTCTATTTTCAACTACAATATACATCTTAAAAGTCAAACCCATTTAAAATAGTTTCATCTTTAAAAAGCACAATGAAAAATAAATGATAATACATTTTCTAAAATATTCCACGCGCAAATAAAAAAACATAATATACACAATAATCAAGCAATACATATTGCCTATCAAAGCAGACCTAATAAGAATGTTGGGTTGGGTTTTTTACATAGCTTGTGAAAAATCCTGCAGTTGCAATGCCTTTAAAATGCAAGATTTACTGAATGCAACAATAAAATAAAATAAAAAAAAAAACATGATTAAAATTTCTGCCTCTTGCTGGTGTACAGTACACTTTGCTGGTGTACAGTAGAATCAGAGCGTCTTATCATCGTCATCATCATCATCATCATCATCATCATAGAGGAAGCAGCATTGAATGGAAGAGGAATACATCATTCTAATTCAAACCATCTGTTTTCTATGAAAGCTTGATGGATATATTTGGCATTTACTTGTTGACAAGATACACATGGCATTTACTTGTTCACAGATTCAAACACCCTTCGCAAGTCCGAGAGTGCTTCACGTATACGTGTTCCGAACTTTAGAGCATCCTGTATGTAAAGAAATATGTAACAATTTACCATAAGGTACACATAATCTCAAACAGTAGTACAAGATTCTGGGCTTGAAATTAATAAAATTTCCTGGAAAGTTCATCAGGTTTAGTAGAAAGTTTAAAGCATATGAAGTATGAACATAAATAAATCTCACGTTACTCAATTTCTATATTTCTATTTGGGGTACTATTTTTGCTCTTAATAAAAGTGTTTGATCAGAGATTTCATCTGCTTCAAAAGATTTGTAGAATAATGTTAATGTACATGCAAATGTATCGGTTACAAACATGTTTTTATGGGTAACTAGATATTAATTAGTAAACTAATAATTGATAGAATAATATACATAATAAATATGAACAAACAAAATACTTTCTTTATATTCCTCAATGAGTTGACATGTATTGGGTGGACAAAGCCGTTAAGTTATTATTAGTGGTGTACATGTCAGTCATAAAGAATATTTAACAGTGACGTGACTGGCAATAATGATTGTGTTCCCCGTTCATGAATGTATGCGCATCTGTGTTCCACTAGAAATGAGAAATTTCGCTAAAGGTGTATAAAATAGACTGGGTATGACATAGTACACTCTATTTCAGGACATTATGTTTTTTAATGTGTGTACCCTGTTTTATAATTTTAACTACAATGCAAAGCAGAGTATAGTATGCGTAAACAATGGTTCAAACAGTGGACGGAAAATTACTGATCACATGTTCTATATGGCCAACACCATGGTTAGCTGGAGACATGTCATACTCTGTCTATTTATTTTGAAGAGTGGGCTGAAAATATTCCACATTCAAATGTTTTTAAAAAGCACATGGCCACGTCAACTTCTTTCAACCAAGAACGAAAATATACTTCTTTTAATTATTTTTCATTTTCAGTATGTACTGACT